AAGGCCAGAGAACGAGGCGGCATGCATGAGGGTTGTGGGAATGCCCAAGTTCGGTCTTCATGGGGTCTAGCCGCTTTAACGGCTCTAGGCTCCATGACTTTGTGAACTGCTGAGCATATCACTTTGAAAAGTCGTAGAGGGCCCTCTATGGTCGCGCTGTTGAGAAATCAGGGCCTTGGCAGCGAAGCACTACCCGGCACAAGCATGAGGACAAGTGAGGATTTGATCCAGTTGATCTTGGATGATGATGATGATGAGGATGGTAGCTTGTACGGCAAGAAGGGTTCAAGCGATTTTTGGGCTGAATACGTTTGTTTCATATATAATGATAGTTTCTTGCCTCTTCTGAGGCAGAAGAAGGGACGTCCTTCCATTCATGTTCAAACCGGTTCAGGAACCGTTTATGCCAAGTTTCGCGGTTCCTTGGTCCGTTGTCGTGTGCCGAGGTGACCTCTTCGATGAAGAGAGCTCAGAGGAGAGAGCAGCTGCATAATTGTGATGAAGACAAGTGCCCAAGACAAGTGTAAGTTTTGCTAGACAATAGATCACAGTCATAACCAATCACATCCTGGCCGGGACTTGGATTGCAGAAAGCGCATTAGTTGGTCTACTTCATGTTCCGGATGCACAAGTCATGCCACCTTTTTGGGAGGTCTGCACCATCAACAAATGAGTCACCAGTGCAACGGGCCATTCACTCCGGAGGAGTCAATTCCCCTCAATCCTACAGACTGCACCTCACGTCTTTGTCGTCCGGATCCTCCCAGCCCTCCTGCCCTTTCTGCCACCGATGTTCGAGCAGCTCGGTCACTGACGCGCTTGGCGTCAGGAGGCAAGTGAAGTGGTCACACCGCGTGAGACCTCCAAGGTGTGCCAGCCCTGGGCACTCAGGGTGGGAGAGAGGACCTTAGCTAAGCCCTTGGCGCCTTGGCTACCTGGTTAATTGCTTAATTCATTGTTTGATTGATTCTTATTTGTGCCTTTCCACCGCACTGCCGGAAAAAAGGATGAAGCCAAAGGAGAATAGATGATGCGGCGGTTGAAACGATTTAGCACACACAATGCTACGTAGGCTTTACCGTATGTAGCTTTGAATGTTCAGCTTTTGAGTGACGAACTATATAGCTGATCTTGTGGAATTACCAGCGATCCGCATGTTTCTCAGCATCTCAGTTGTACTTGACTTTCGTTTGATATGAGATTGCTACTCTCTGTCTCTCTACCTCTTTGTCTATGTCCTTCTCGATTTTCACCACTGAAACTTTTCCCTTTTCTTTCTTTTGGCGCGGGGGAGTGTGAAACTAACGTTTGCACCATTTGGCGTTCAGCTCCATTTTTGTACCACTCGTCAAGTGCTGCAGGTCCCACAGCGCTGGAGGTTCACTGTAAACATTCATAGCTCTGACACGACAGCGCGTCCTCATCCATCACTTGCCAGGCTTCTGAGGAGTTCCTTGACCCTCGCAGCCAGAAGCTGGGCGGCATTGGCAGGCTCTCTTGAGTTCGCAAAGAATAATCGGCTCAGTTCTATTCCGCGTCTCATTATTTGATCCAGATATGCATTCATTGTGTACAGCAGTACACATCATCGACCGAGAGAAAGGATGCAGGATGCAGTTTTTCTTTCAACTCAGGATGCTAATGTCAATTGCGGGAGCCTTGGGGGTGCCTGGAGGTTTTGGATGTGGCATTCTTCGGGTTCCCCAAAATTAAGATCGGGGTTCCCTTTGCACAGCTAGTTTCGGATGGTTTAAGGGGGTGCCATATCAATTGCTTTCCTCTTCGATCAGTATCCTTCCAATCTGATAGCGCTGGCTGATCCCGTCAGAATTGAACAGCGACGTGTTTGTAGACCCCGCGAGCAAGGGATTTCATTCAAACGAGTTGAATTGATACATCCACAAACTAGTCACAGAGTACTATGATTCTGAATTTAAACAAGCTTCCAAGAATATTACATAACGTGCAGAGAGATGAGCTCCTTGGTCAGAGACAAAAAAGAAAGACACGTATGAATTTCTTGTGTTTAATCCATAGAACTCCGGCGTTGTTCAAGTACGCACATATGGAAGCTGGGCGCAAGACAGCAGCCTGTCCAAATCCCCTTGTTGCACCGTTGTCAAGATACTTAGACAAGCTTGACTGCCATTGTGTTTCCAGTCTGTATGGTTGGTTATTGGCAAGGGTGCAGAGTGGATATTATTGCATTTTGATTGTTGTTTGAGATTCTCAACCCGCGGCCGATGCATTGCGCACCACTGGAAACAGGAGCGCTCTCTTTGACAGTTCTCTTTCGGCTCACATGTCAACACAATCACAGCCATAATTCTTTCTTTTGCACCTCAATTGCATTCCAGACAGCGGAGCTTTTTTTTTTGACTCGACACAAAAGCCATAAGACCATGGAGGCCTCTCAAAATTCTCCCAAACTCCAAGGCCTTGCTTCTTCCTTCAAAATCGACACTCCCCTTCTGCATCTAAAACCCTGCCAGACAGTCACGTCGCCCAAATACGAGGCCGAGAGCCTGGTCAAGGACATTCTGCCGGGCTCGTTGGTCTCTGCGAAAGTTCAGGACCTGTCCGTCGTGGCGTCCAGCGGTCGATGTTGGCGACGGTTTTGCATCAGATCCAAACGTCCAAACGACCGAGGTGACGAAGCAACCCAGCTATGACCGTCTCAACATAGGGCAGTCGGACAGACCTCATAGAGAACTGCGTCCGTTGGTGTCAGTGACTGCACATTAAGATAAACCATGTGAAAGACCGCACTATCTTCTCAAGTAAGGCTTGCGTTCGAAGCATTGGTATTCCTACTGAGACTTTGCAAGATTTAGTCTGTGTGTAACTCTTCCTGGTGATTTTTTGGGGACAGTTCTCCCAGTTTAGTCTGTGCACACCCAGTTGGGATTTGGGTCCCTGTTTCCACCGTGAAAAGGACGAGCTCAGCGCGCGGATTTGGCGCGAGACGCGGGCGACGCTTGAGCGAACATCCGGATGAGACGCCGAGCCGATGTTCCTCGGAAACCCCGGAACCATCAAGAAGGATTAGATGTGAGGTCTTAGCTTCATGCTACTAGCTTACTAGTAGCGCACTTGTTCCCAGTAGCTTCTTGCTACTAGGATGATGGTGCATAGCTTTTCAACCAATCTTTCAACCTTGAGGATGCCGACTCTTAACCATGAACCAAGACTGGACAGCTTGTTCTTGTTGTCGAACATGAGTTCAGATGAATGCACGAACCAGCAGGATGCCCACCTGGGTGGATTCAAAGGGTGTTTTTCTGCAGCGACTTCATGCGTTTTTTTTGCCTGAATCAGGGTGCACAAATTAAACCTGCTCATCAACTTGACGATGAGAGGTAGAGAAATTCATGCCCTTTTGACCATGCCCCCCCCACGATCCTCCTTTTATTCTTCGCTTCTATCACAGAAATCCATCCACCTGCCCAAGAGGAGCATCTCCTCCGATCATCCAACTGTAACTCACTTAAGGCTCTCACTGGACTCTGTGGCGCCGCTGTCCTTCATTGCCAAAGCTTTGGCACCTCGCTTTGTAAATGCCGCGACGACGGCGAGCGTCGAGAGGATCTGAAAGGATCATTGCCGTCTCGATTGGGGTGATGCACTAGGAGCGATCGGATGTTACTAGTAGCTTCTGGCCTTACTAGGAACAAGGACGCTGCTAGTAACAAAGGGCATCGCTACTAGGAGCAAGGACGCTACTAGTAGCACTTGCAAGACTTTTGTTTGGGTAAGCATTGGCCAACTGATGAGGGAAAGCATCCGTTGGGGCAATGTTCCGGCCGCATGTGGTTGTTTTCAGGCAGCAAACCTGGTTACTGGGACGCCTGTATTTGGACTAACCTGTTCCTTCCAGCAATCAAGGTGTTGTACACCTACTTCTATGTGCCTTCAAAGCTTCTTCTGTGTTCTTCAGACACTGTGACAGTTGCTGCACATTGAACACTTACTTTAGGGCTAGGGGATGCTTAATATTTCATCTTAGCATTTATTTGATCGGATGTTTTCCAGACTTCTAATTACCCGGCCACATATCAAAGTCCCGCTATAGCTGGATTTGCTCAACCATGGCGAGCACAGTTCCTGGTTGTTCCCTCTCAAACCGTGTTCGCCCAGTGTTGGCACTCATTTCTGTCTGCGTAAGGCTCCCAAGCACAGCTTGTGGCAGATTGAGTTGGCCATCAAGGTGACAACTTCAGAAAATTATGTGATGTGGGTCAATATTCTCATTGCAGGGGAAGGACCCTGTCTTTTAAAGTACCTAAAAGGGGACTGATAAATTTTCAACATTCTCTGATGAAGTGAGTAGGGAGATCGGATGGGGGCGCTCACTACACCTGAGGGCAAAAAAACACACACACACACACACACAAGTCGCAACACACATTTTCTTTCACCATGCCCTGCATGTCTTTGTGCGTGGCTAGAGCTGTGTGCCGAGATCACGAGAGTGAGTACTTGCCAGGCCGATCACTTTTTACACAGGGAATCTTAGAGACATGTAAAGGCCAAAACTGTACCAGGTGATTACCTTCAACTTGGCACAGCGTGAGAGGCGACGCCACTGGCGAGGGAGGATGGCGGCTTTGGCGGAGAACAACAATTAGGAATAATGTGTAATTCTTTATCAGATAAGAAAGAATAAAGCAGTAGTTTTCAACAGCCAACAATATTGCGGGCATTTGTGCTCGATGTGGTTCAATGCGTTTGAATCCAAGCACGTGGAGGGTCATAGAAGTTGCAGCAAAACTGGACATTTGCTCAGGCAAGTTATACCAGGCAAGAAACAAACGGAAAGCACGCGGAATGCCCAATGCAGTAGTACCCCAGCCATGCCAGTTGGAGAGCTTCAACACCCTGTGAGAACAACCGAGTAGTTTGTCCATTGATGCTCAAATCCTTTTCCACACAAGCCCCAGTCACTTTGGGATGATGTGGTGATTTGTTGTCTCTCATGAAGCTTGCGTTTTCGTTGGACGATGAGCCACTCTGTCGGAATCCGTCTAGTGACACACCTGGCACGACATTTCCACGCGAACGCAGGCAAGAGCTATCGCAAGTTGGGATGTGCCCTGGCGCGTTCCACCACGGCCCAGTACGGTTCTGTGGTTTGGGATTGTGAGGAAAAGCCGTTCAATAGTGGACAGTGGTTGCATGTTGGCGCCGCCACAGTCGCATGACTAGTGAGGCTATCAGTTGTATTCAACTGTCATGCTACTTCCCTTTGGTTGCACGTGACTTGGGTTTCCTTTTTCCTTCCAGGAAGCATTTCTGTGCAATGAGTACTCAGAACTTCCTGAAAACGACGCCCGAGTTGGTCATTTCCCCCTGGTTGATGGTGCTTCACGGTGCAAAAAGGGTGCCAAGGACGCTTTCGTGGCAAAGGATCGCCAAAGATTGCTATTTGGGGGTCGGCCACCACTTCCGGGAAGACCTCCCACGGGCGCCGTGGCGTGGGTTGGGGTGCTCCACCGCGGCGGAGCTAGGCGCCAGGACCAGTTCGACGACTTCATCCAGGTGTGGATGTGTGGACGTCGTTCGTTGCAGAGATGTGCGATGCAGATTCTAGAGTCATTCTAGAGTATGCCGGTCAAACCGAGCTCCGTGGTAGCTTGACCTCCCTGGTAATCTATTCTGTTCATTTCCGTCAACAGGGTCCCCCTGTTTTGACCCACCCAAATAAGAACACGCATGCCGCATACCTCATGGTTTACAGGTACAAGGGAAGCGCAGGATTTGGTCCAACATCAAATGCTCAACCACCATACGAAGGGCGCCTCTCTTGTTGTCGAACTCATAGCGTGCCCAGATCATCCCCGGGAGATTCTCCAATGATAACGACTAATGACTAATGACCAATGAGGTTCTTTATTTGGAGAAGGTCAATACATGGAGAACACTGAACAGAATCTGTTTGTGAACCTCCAAAATTGACTTGCAACCCCGGCATGTTCGAAAGAAATGAGTGTATACGAGGATCATGCAGAAGAGTGGACTTTCATTTCCCTCTACCTCACCGGCCGTTGTTTTTGGTCGGCCTTTGTGGTCGGCCTGTCTCCGGCGAACTTAGCTGAAAACACCGCTGAAAACACCGTTGCTGGCTGTTGCAGAACGTGAGCGGAAGATTGTTCTGCCCGTCCTGAGCTTCAACCCCCATCGAAGTCCCGCGGTTGTGAACACATGTATAACTACGGAGATATACACAATCAGATATAGACATAGATCTGTAGCTGCCAGTATAGACTCCAAAATTCACTGATGGATGAAACATGTTCCATTTGCGAGCCCTCTTCGAACAAGTAGCAACCCTTATTCGTTTGCGAGCCGCAGGACATGCAGAAAGGCATCACCTCCACCCATGCTGAGGTCAAGAGATTTGACAGCCTCTCGGTACAGCTGGGTGAAACTGAGAGAGGCTGTCGTGAAGCAGGGCGATCAGGGCTCCAGTGGTGCGGAGAAGACAAAGCTAACAGTCGGGATCCTTTCCAAGGTGCAGTTGGTTGGTTTGGCAGGACACAGATTCCAAGCCAAGCGTCCCGGAGGTCAGTAAGTCAATCTACGTAGAGGAACCAAAAAGCCCGGCCCATTTTCCGCCGCTCTTGCAAGGCTATGCGGGAGGCTCTGCCTATCAACGAATTTGTGTGATGCTGAAGAATGCCATTGACTCTCCAGAGGGTCCGTGCACAGAACAGGAGTTCCGGTTCACCAACTCTTCGCCACAGAAAAGATTATGTATTCCGCTGATCGAAAGAGGGTGATTGATTGGCTGAAAAATAGAATCAATTTTTGGCCGGATCATGTCAGAATTTGCACGTTTCTTACGAAGTAACTTTTAAGCTGTAGGAATCTCGGTATTTCTACGTGTATTTTTTCTATTTGGGACGGCGCCATCAAGTGTCTAGTGCCATGGCATTGGTAGAGCGCAGTATTTGAGACAAGAGGTGATGATCACGGAAGACCTGTACTGTAGCATATATAAGGGCCGCCTGTTAGATTCAGTTTTTGGATTGTCAAGTAGGACCTTGTCCCCCTCACAGAAACCGCACCTAGCGTCACTTGTGGTTTGTCAGGAGTTGCTTTTGCGCTCCATCAGGGACTCAGTTCCTTGGCAGAAGATGGCCTTTGAGGTGTGTGGTAGCTTGCCATGAAGTTCAATTCTTAGTGACCTTTGTTTTGTGAGGCTTTATTGACTTGTGGTCCTAAGGCACCAGAACACTCGCAGAGATTGACCTTAAAAGGACCTAACAAGCAAGTTTCATTGGGAGGTACACTTGCTTTTTCTTTGGGTTGAATTTTTTGTCGGTACTCGAGGGAGGGAGGGGGGGAGGGAGGGGGAGGGAGGGAGGGACGGAAGGAAGGAAGGAGGGAGGGAGGGAAGGAAGGAAGGAAGGAAGGGTTGTAATTTGAGAGGAAGAACGGCATATACTAAACAAAGAAGGTTACAATGGATTCCCTCGGTTGTGCGCTTTCTGGGTCTGGCCCCAAGAGAACATCGTGTCTGGTAAAGCGGCGATTCCTCCGGGGCGTGCGACAGCTTCTACTTGGAAGGGGCCGTTCCAACGTAGAATGCCTTTTGTGAGACACTCAACTGTAGAATTTAGGCAACGAAGGCGTCATGGAAAGCTGGAATACCTCTTGTGAGCCACCTGAGGCTAACATCTAGATGGCGTCCGCACTCGTGGAAAAAAAACCTGAGGCTAACATCTAGAGAGAAGAAAGGAGCCATGAACATGTGGCAGGTAGCATACTCTGTGAGCCGCACGAGGTAGCATACCTTGTGAGAGGTTCAACAGTCGCATACCCCACCCAAAGGTAACATTTAGAGGAGGAAGCGGCTTTTCAAACTCAAATACCATGTGTGGGCCACCCACAGGTCAAATTTAAGGGAGACAGCCGCCCGAATTTTGAACTTTAGAGTTGGAAGAGACCACTCCAATGTAGCGCACCTTTTAAGCTTTTGTGAGCCCGTTGATGGTCAAATGTAGAGAAGGAAGGGCCATTCCAACGTAGCATACCTTTTGTGACCAACCCGAGGGTTAAAATTGGAGGAGGAAGAAACTATTCACCTTGTCTGAGCCACCCAACGTTAAAATGCAGGGGTTGAAACGTCCAAGACCCTTTGGTGAGTTGCACGAGGGCAGAATTTCGATACCTTTTGTGAGCCACCAGAGGGCAATTTTGTTCGAGACTCACAAAATGCTGCGCCTGCTACTGGAAAAAGAACAACTAACCAAACAAACATTGAATACGTTGGTATAATGATATTACATTTGGAATGCTTCAGCTTCACCACGTGTTGTAGCAAAATGAAACATGTAGACGTAGACATTAAACCAGCGCAACCCCACAACGGTGGATGCCAAGGGCCACCAGGCTTTTGCCATCTGACAAAAGACCTGGACGCTAAGATCAGCACTCTGAGGTTCACAAAGTGCTGCACCTGCCACAAAATCTGCAATTGAATTTCCGGCCATCCCAGCACCAAAAGCAAGAAACACACAGTCACACTCAAATTACTGTAAACCATCCCGGATCCCAGCCGCGAATTTACCAAGCCCCGTACTAACCATACTGTACTGTAGAGTGTGAAGTGCTCTCCTGGAAGATGGAGAACTGGAGTACTGCGCAAAGCAGAAAACAGGCTTTAGAAAGGGACCGGCACCGAGCGCCAGTTACTAGTTGTGTTTCTTTTTGTCGTTGGACCAGCCAACGATTGACAAGTGATGGCATTCTCAAGGGTGGAACATCTGGTTCTTGCCAACAAGAAGTTCAACATACTGTTGGGGAAATTCCTGCACCACCCCGCTTTGTCAAGCAGCATATTCATCTACTTGAGGTGCTGAGTTTCGTCCAGTCTTGAAGACTCTGGAAGCCGGAAGTTGGAGTAAGCAGCGGTTGAGGTGCAACATTTGACCATCGTGAAGAAGTCGGTGGACGATGCCAGCAGGTGCGACATCGGTCGCGGATCACAGAGCGGAAATGGCGAGCGTTTAGCGGCCTTGCTGAACGGCGAAGGGGAGGACTGGTGTCAATAGTTCAAGGCTCTATGGTATTGTGTTTGTGTTCAGGTGATGCAATTGATGTACTGTAATTGTAAAGTTATATACTGTACTTGATATTACCCGAGAGAAGGATATCACACCGACAATTGGTTTTTGCGAAGGAGTCTATTTTTATGGAGTGAGTCTCCTCGATGTTCGTTGTATTCGTTCCAAGCTGGTGCAATGGGAAGTCTAGGCTCTGTGCTATTATAAACGTGTAACTGTCAATAAACAGTTATCACTTATCACTATTTTTTGAACAATGCCTTTACCAACCATGATCATCCACTGTTACTGCTTCAGTGTAGTGGGTCACATGGGCCTTCATGCAACTCCTAGTGGCCCTTCGTAAGAGAATGACCATCCTCTGACATATTTTTGACCATGGCTGCCATAGATCTCTGAAATATATTGCTGCATTTTGAGCCGCTTGAGCGAGTACCGAACTCGGGGCTGGCGTGGTCGCCGTGGCCTCAAACGACCCATGATCAACACGACTACTTCAACAAGAGATGCCTTCAAGCAGTCATATTTTTCGAGACTTCTTTGGGGCCAGTGGCAGTGATTTGGATTTATATAGGTAGCTCTTTGAGAAAGCTATCTAGTGGAAGCAGTGTGTGGGATAGACATGGATGGACTGCCTACAGGCTCTTGCATGAAGCCAAGATGGCTGAAACGGATGCTTGGCCTCAAACCGACTCGGTCTCGCAAACTCGGTCTCCTCGGGGATTGGCCCTGTGACCCTGTGCGCGTGTCATGGATGGTTTGCCCCACTGGACCAAGAAACATCCAGAAACCAAAACAACCCCAAGAAGAGTATGATGTATCCACATTGACCAGTGGATGTCATGCGCATCAGTTTTCCGCCTGGATCTAGACATGAGACGGCATATCCCATATCGACATGCGGGTCAGTGCCACACCTGAAGCTGGGTGGAGCTGCACCTGTCGCTGAGGGAATGCTCCAGTGGTCCTCAGACCTTCCCAGGACGGGTCGGCGGTTCTTGCCCTGTGGCAGAACCGACGTTCGCTTCAGACGTCGTGGACGTCGTAAACGGTTTACTTTCCGAACGTTTGGATGGCAATCAATGCTTCTTACATACTCTATTTTCACCATTTTTTCATCCACATCTGCTCTGGTCACCTGTATCTATTGCCATCCAAAGGTCGAATTGGTTGTTTGTGGAAGGTGCGATACGGTCATACTTGACGCCTCCCTTTGGTGGACAGACTCAAGACGCACAGGTTTGCAAAGAGGTCTTTGCATTTGATTAGAACGACTGGAAATCACTCCGAAGGATGTGTGACAGCTGGCCACATGTTTAGGACGAAGAACATCATGGACAAGTACTTCTCTGATCCTTAGTGGCAATGGTGTTTGTTGCGAGAGCCACGCCGAGCCACGCCTAGGTCTCCAAGTCGGGGATCGCAGCTGGGGGGTGATGTGGTGATGTCCACTAGTCACCAGTCGGACTCGTTGGACGTATGGAGGACCACTGGACCACCCGAAACAGGTCCTTGTCCGGAGAAGAAGACTTGAGCAGGGATCATCAGGGATCACTGTTTTTGCAGAACTCTTTTCTTCGAAGTCGTTTTTCAACCCGGTAGAAGTGCGGGCGTGAGCAGTGAAAGCGATACAAGTGCTTGAGTCTCGTGCCATCGGGTACACATCTCAGGATCCACTTGGTGTTCTTTTGCCAAGGTTGATGGCAGTTCTTCTTACACCAAGATCTACACTAGAAGCCTGTCTCGAAGTGTTAGGTGCTACCAAGATTCTACATTAAATCGCTCGGACCAAGTGTTGAGTTCTCAGGACCTGAATGCCTTAAAAGAGAAGACTTCCTCCAAATTGAAGGATGACTTCCAGGCCTCCGACTTGACATGCTCTGCTGGGTCTGCTGGAGCCTGGAGTCTCAGTAGAGTCAGACTCTGCAATTCTGACTCAAAGCGACTCTTTCCAGGTCCCAACTTTGGCCAAGAGCCGCTTTACTTTGCATAGCCCTTGATGTCAAAACGATGAAGTCGGACGTGACACAAACTCGGATGTGTCTTTTGGGCTTGGGGAGCTGCGTCGCGATGCGTCTTGTATGTGGCTCGTTTTGGTTGAGTAAAGCTACCACATGAAAAGGCGAGGACACTTTGTTGCATTCGCTGTTACTTTTTGTATGGGGCCTTATGGGTGTGTCGCTGAAAAAGGTCCAGTTCTTTGTCATCTCCTTTTTCAGGTGGATGTTTTTGGCAAAAGCGTCAGCAGTTGAGTTGAGAGGGGACTGTGTTTGATTGTTGTTGATGATCTTTTTCGAAGGAAAACATGACAACTCACTATCGAGTTCCGGGTCCAAACGATGTTTGGTCTCAACCGCCACTGGAGATCGCTGGCCAACAGCACTGATGTTCCGATGTTCTTAGCCGCCGCTTAGCTTCCAACCTTGTGAAACCATGCGAACTCCATATCCACAGTGACAGGGTCACCCCTCAGAACATCGCGATCAATCCAAGTCAATCCTCCGAATTGGTCAAACATCCGGCCTGGCAGGTCGCCGGGCAGCGCTTCGAGCAGATCTTGAACGAAACCACGCAGCTTCACAGGATGGCAACGGACCATGTGTCTCGGATGAAGAGGCGAATGGCTGATCAAGGCACAAATTGCTGAGCGCACAAGATGGCTTGCATTGGCTTGTGGGCATAGACAAACATAGACAAAATCAAAGCACAAGCAAAGCAAGCATCATGTCCACCTTGTAAGCGCCATTTGTGCCTGTAAAGCGCCATCTTGTAGGTACTTTCAGGAGGACATGTGCGTTTGGAAAGTGTGAAGTCCTCCAGCAGGTTATCTTGAAACTTGATGAAGCCCTCCACGTGAACCTGCAATGTAGATTCGTAGATGTTTTGATAGTAAGGAGGCTCAACCTGAACCTGCATCTCTGCAACATCTAAGACGTCTCCCTGATGAAGAGGGCTTCTATTGAAGAGACTGGTTTTTCTTCGGCATTGCCCAGATTTTCTCAAGGGCGCTGTTTTTGTAAGGGCACGATCTCAGCGGGTTTGCATTTGCACTGAGATTTCCCTGAAAGGTCTTGAGATTCCCTATGTCTTGGTGGAATGTGCTAGGTGGTAATTCATGGTACTGGTAATTCTAAGGGCAGGGTGAAGCCCCTTGCCAACCTGCCAAGCCTGCAGTCCCATTGAAGATCCAAGCCCAAGCGCTTGCCTGACGTGTTTTTTTTTGCCCGAGCCGGCATCATCAGGAAGTCAAGACAAGCCAGATCCAGGGAGAGCTGGAGTTGAAAGACGAGGACTGCAGAAAATCAGGAAGAGAGTTGCATGAGGAGACAGGACGGACACAGCGTTTTGTGGGCCAACGTTTCGTGCACGAGAGATTTCTCCACGTCCGAGTGGCGCGAACGTGGATTTAGGGCTCCGATCGTGCGACGAGCAGAAGCTCCCTCTCCCTTGTCTGTGCACTGACAGGTTGAGAATGGTTGACATATATATAATTACATCTAGGCAGATATGCATAATATATGTATACAGACTCCTTAATAGATAGAAAAGTAAATCCCCACTAAAGATGTATTGGAAACCGTTTCTTTCCATTTGGAGACCACTATATTCCGAGTTCAAAGACTGCTCTGCGTGGGGTCGCGCCGGATTTGGACCCAGTGCCCCAGGAGCTTCGAGAGCTGCAGGAGAAGCTCCGACGCATGAAGCAAGGCGCGACCAAAATGAGAAACAGCGTGGGATGCAGGAAAGCACGGGGTTTTGGGTGGCTGCATGGAGAAAGGTCCGTGAAAGGAAGCCAGCAAATCCCATCTTTTCATCCCATGGCCAATCCTTTGAACACTCACAAGACCATAGTTTGCTGTGGTGAGCTTGTGGATTCTGGATTCTCAGATATTCTCACACTGTTTGCCTAGTTTGCAGGGACCGATCGCAACAAGAGCGAATACCAAGCCTGTAAGCAAGACTTGGAGGCTGGGGCTGGGTGCATTGACTTGATCAAGGCTCCCTTGGTGACCCTGGAGCACCTGAGACAGACAAGAGGCATATACTTGTATTGAGGTCTTTCCAGAGGAACGATCGTTTGTGTTGAGGGCATGACTTCGAAGGTCGTAATTCACTGAATCAGTTTGATGCTTTTTTGCAACTTTTTGGTCCCGGTTGATGACCCGGGTTGGTCTCCCTCGCCGGTGCTTGCACTGGTGGACTTTGGGCCCATTGGGCGGTTCCGTCGTTGGTTGACTTGCAGTGTTGGAGAGATCTTGTTGTCTTCAGTCCCCGATTGACTTTTGTACCGGATAGAGGAACCAGTGCAAAGTTCTCTTTGCCTGGACTGAGCGGGCTTTTGTTCCGCTCCCCTTCTCTCTCCTTTCCTCTCCTTTGTTCTTGCACTCTGATGCTCCTCTGCTTTTCTCTCCTCCCTTCTTCCCTTTCCTCCTCTTCCTCCAGTCGAATTGATTCCAAGAAGCTTCTCATCTCCTTCTCTTGCCTTTCTGTTTTTTTCCTCTCAGCATACGTTGGAATTCAGTGTCACTTGGAAGTCGAGAAAGCTGAGCCCACAAAGTAATTTTTGTTGTGAAATGGAGTGAAACCCAAGCAGGTCCTACTTTAAGCAGAAGAACTTTGGCCAGTCGAAAGCCACAATTTCATCTTTAAGCTTGGTTCTTTGCCTTGTCTCCTTGTCCTCTCTTGCCTTCTCGCCTCCTTGTCTGCCTTCTTGCCTTGGCCTTGTCTTCTTGTTTCTGTCTCACCTTCTATCGGAGATTTGTCTCGTCTTCAGCTCCTTGCCTGCCTTCTTATCTTCTTAGCTCCTTGTCTTCTTGCTTTCTTGTCTCGTTACCTTTCTCCTTGTGTCCTCATCTCATCTCGGCTCTCATCGCTCCACAAGACGATCCAGGCTCGTAGACATCCCAATTGGCTTTAGGCTTTAGGCTTTCAAGGTACACGTTCAGAAGGTCTGGTGCGTCTGAGTCTTCGCAAGGCCATCGCTACTGTCCCTACCTACCGGATATCCTTCCTCCGGCTTTGTTCTGAGTCGAACGTACATTCGCAAGGGCGAAGTAGCGGTGCTCCAAGCAAAGTGTTCTTTCAACGACTCTGAGTGGCTACGTGTTTTGCAGTGGCGCTCTCTTCACTCGCAAGCTTGGGCAATCTTTGATATGGCATGATAAGGCTATGTTTGAGCAATGGTTGGCAGTGGAAAGAGTTCGAGGTTTAGAGGGGGCTTTACTTGCAGTGGTAAAGACTTGACAGTTGTTAGGGAGCGTTGACAAAGCTCATGATTTGAGAGCAGTTTCAGTCATGGGCGGCGCAATTGACCGCACGAGCGCATATCTGCGAACACGCTGCGCATGTCATCATTCGCCAAATATGTCTTTCGGTGGAACTGGGAATTGGGCATCACAAACAAAGCGGATTAAATCAACGCCTTCAATGAGAGTAGTAACAAGAAGCTAGTAGAAACAAGTGCCACGCTAGTAGTAACAAGTGCCTTACTAGTAGTAACAAGAAGCTAGTAGTAATCAAAGTCTGGTGAAGTGATAGGGAGGTCTTTTGTCAACCTGATAGTAATAGCTTCTTGTTACTAGAAGCGATGCACTTGTTCCTAATAGCTTCTTGTTACTACTAGTAAGGCACTTGTTACTACTAGGGATGCACTTGTTCCTAGTAGCAAACATTGTCTTTTGTCAACCTTCCCATTTCATGTTTTCGACAGCGGGCGGGTGTCAGGATGAGCGTGATACAGTGGTGACGCGGGTGAAAGCTGCTGAGCGGCTCTTCGATGGGCAGACACAAGAGTGTCCTGGCAGGTCAGACGAGTGTGGTTCAGGGCCGGTCGAGGGAGGCGCTCGCTCAGACGTTTGCAAGTCGCAGACGTTCCCAACCTGTTGGTTCCCTGCTTGGCTTGTTTGGTTGGAATGAATGGGATTATCTGACGAGTGTACATAGGTAGACTCGACTTCTTTGGGGCCCAGGCGTACGTATCAAACAGACCAAGAAGACACGGTTTGCGGAAAGCAAGACAAGGAGCACAATACAAAATTGGTTCTCAAGGTAAGATCATTTGGCCAATAGGTGCTGGTTGAGAGGTGCACTTGCTGGCTGGGTTGGGAAGGACAGGTTTTTTTGAGACATAGGTGTTGGCAACATGTCACGTGGCATGTGAAAAAACCGAGAGGGTATGCTGAATATGAACATCATGAAGCTCTGGTGTTCTTGTGCTTCTCGACTGTCATGTTCAGCACCTCGACTATCCTCATCCTGTACAGACATGCCGGGATTCCAACGACCTTGGCTGAGGATCGAAAGTCTCCACCAAGACTTGCGCAATCTTCTATTGGAAGAGGCCGTGCTTGAACGGCTTGGCTTGCGCGTTTTTGGATGCGCCGGCCTTATCCCTTCAGGTGGCCAAGCAAATGGAGGAGGAGGCCTTGAGAAAGTTCGAGAAGGCCGGGGTTCTCAGTTCTCACCGGTGAAATTCCGGGCACGTACATTACTTATTGACTAAGTTATTACAGGAAAAATTGCGTGAAGACAAATGTTGTGAAGCCTTTGTTCTGCTTCAACCAGTCCAAACCAGACAAAGTTGTTCTACAACTGATAGTCTGACGATTTCTTCTCTTAAACAAAGGTGCTTTGTCACTTTCCTTCAACATGTCGTGCATGTGGATGTCTGCGGAATATCGCCTGTGCCAAGGACGTTTGACATCCCCACCCCTTGTGATGGTCTTCGAAGGTCCAGACGAAGTCGCCACAGAGTGACGTGTAAAGGGGAAACATACCTCATTAAAATCTAAAGGGACACACCAGGGTTTTGCCAACTGATTTTATGGGTAGGAATCCTGAGTCCACAACACCAAAAGGGATTGGGTTTGAAAGCCTTCCTTCAGCCACATCATTGCCACGTAAAGGGCCTTGGCGATGTTTCAGCTCCCAAGGTCAAAGCAGATCGAGAAGAAGCCCAGGCAGGGATGTGCACGATGTCCATCTCATGGTTTGGGGTCGACCAATGGAGTGGTGTGGGAAAGATGTTCGATCGGAGTAGGTGGAGTGGAGCGTTTCGATCGGAGTAAGCGGAAACCGTGTGAACTGGCCGATTTACTTGGCTGAGTGGACGGCAGTAGACAACAGTGGCATGCAGTGGTGGACTAGCTTTGAACCTCCAGGGAGTCCTGCCCAGTCAGCTGCCCAGTCAGTGGCCTCACCCGTCAACCACAGCCATGAACGAGAGTTCCATTGAGAAATCACCTGTTCAAGTGCCAAAATGGCAGTTCTTTTGGCATGCCCTGTTTGGAACTGGTTTTCATTTCTTGAGAAGCGGCCTGCCAGGTCACCTACCAAAATGCTCAAGATCGGCTCAGGCTACGTCCAGAGACTTAAAGACTCTTCATCCAGCATCAAAGCAGTGTCTAGTTTCAGAAGTGTTCACATCGCAGGGGCACATCTTGCTAGGTTTGCTGAGCAAAAGTGGTCTACCCGTGATGTCTGCAGTATTTTTTAGTGTTCCAATCCATTCACAGGATCTGACCATCTCCAGTTCGTAAATGAAGGCTTCCCAACTATAGAGAGAAGAGTGAAGCTGCTCCTAGAATGTATCGAGAATCGTTCCTCTGTGTTGAAACCGGAGAACGCTTTGCTTTCCTCGCTCTGTCAGAGGCTCACTGAAGACTTGTTGGATGCCATGAATGCCGCAACCCTCAGCGGGAACATCATGGACGAGCTCTTACGACGCTGACTGCAAGAGATGAGTTCTTTGGCTCAGCCAGGATGGCTGTCCTTCTTCACTTCTACTGGTTCTACTGGTACTTCGGGAAACCGCAAAGAAGTTCTAGACACAATTTGATGCACCCTCATGAAGGATCTTCATACCTGTGGCATGTTGCGAGCCTTCCTCTGCACCAGTTCAACCCACGGTGGGCATGGCCGTCACCGGGTTCGGTCCAAATGGTCACCCCAACAGGTCACATGGCTGGCACCCTAATAGGCAAAGCATGGCTGTCACCGTGTTGGATGAATTGCACGGCTTTGCCGAAAGCCCAACTTGGGCTCCAGAGCCAAATGTTCACGTTTTTGGGATGACATGTCATTGAGATTCATTGAGCACTCCCAGATTTCGCCCAGGAAAGAGGGACGAGATCAATCGACTTCGGAATGCAGCCGACAAGGCGGAGGAGCCAAAAAGGGCGAAAGCGATACGCTCACGTCCGTTTCATGCCACGTCGAATCATTGGACTGTTGGTGGCCGACACGTAAATGAAAGAGTTTGAGACGATGTGGGTGTCACTAAATGCTGCATGGTTCTATAGTGCCTCATGCATCTTTTTTTTGGCACCTATTTTTATTGTGAAGTGCTTATACGCCAGGTCTTCATTATTCCCAGCCTAACACCAGGCGTTCAATCCAGGACTCTTTAAACTTTACACGACCAAAGCTGGAAAAGCTGTGTGCCGACGAACGTGTAGACGACCCCTTTCATTCTACGCGTGGAGACGCCTGGAACCACGTGCCGATGAACGCCGATCCTTTTTTTTTGAGGAGTTTATGGCCGATCAACGCCAGAAGCTTGTGGAGCTTCAGCAATGGCTTCGTGACTTTGGGCAACCAGAGGCCGCCTGCTGGAGTTGGACAACAAAGCAACGTGTACCAAAATTATTCAAAACAAATGACCTGACCGGCAAACGAGGCTGCTGGATATGCGGCGCAGCGAGAACTTTCGATGCCTTCTGTGGTTCAGCCTTCCTTGTCTATTTAGTCTAGTTCACTGTTTCCTCCCTATTGTCGTTTCCTCCCTTTCATGGCATCAAGCCCTCCGAAGTTACCAGCGGAGCCACCGATTCATGGGTATGAGGAGAGTGGGTAAACGAAAATACTTGCGACATGTTGGTGCAAGAAACAACCCTCTTTGGTAAATTCCTTTGATGATATGAAGCATCCAGCTGAAGAATCTGAACCATCTTCTCAGTATCGACCTGCATCGATCTGGACCATTTTCACCGTTGGTGACACCTCCAAGACTTGCAGGTGGCCGAGGCCGCAGACACCTTCATTACGGATGCCACAGAGATGCCGAAGGCGGCACTGAACATAAAACGGAGGAAGGGAAGAGAAGGGAGGAGAAGGGAGGAGGGGAAGAGGCGGAGTCTTATAGCAATGGCCTCCAACCTCTTTATTGACCTCCAACCGAATAGCGAATCCTGGGGTTTGTGAACATGGTAACAAGAAGCTACTAGGGGCTCCTGGCCGCCCCCCCCTAGGAGCAAGGAAGGATGCTACTAGGGGCTCCTGGCCGTACTACTAGGAGCAAGGACGCTACTAGGGGCTCCTGGCCGTACTACTAGGAGCAAGGAAGGATGCTACTAGGGGCTCCTGGCCGTACTACTAGGAGCAAGGACGCTACTAGGGGCTCCTGGCCGTACTACTAGGAGCAAGGATTCCACTTTGGATCAATGACGTGGTCTTTTTTTGCGGAGATCGGCTTTGGATGTCGCAAGTCTGGCCACTAAAAGATTGGAGAAATGGAACAGAGGGTTAGGAAGGGGTCGACCAATTGATTACCTCAAAAAAAGCTGACGCTTTCTTGCCTCTGGGAGATGCGCATGAGAGCACACATGTATATAAGAGCACATGAGAGGACGCATGAGAGCACACACATGCAAGACCCACAGAAGAGAACGCACATGAGAGCACATGTATGAGAGTGCAAATGTAAGAACACACACACTACGTAGAGGATACATATTTCTCACATGTGTGCTGTCATGCTTTTTGTGTGCTCTCTGTATGCGCTCCTTCCCCATCTTCTCAATTCGCTCCACATCATTTGAGGCTTCGCTCCCCATCCCACAGAACAACATGTGATCGCTTTCGGGGACGAGAACAACATGTTGGCCCGGGGTGGTTGATGTCGGGTTTCTGACCGGTGTCAGATCAACAAACACCGGTGTCAGGGTGCCTCGGATAAGTGCACTCAACTCTTTGAGGTACTCAATCTTTCTTCAAATTTGCAAGTGTGCGCACTCTAATTCGCTCAAGGCCCCAAATTAAGTCAACAAGTCAATCCAGATAGGGGCTTTAAGTCGGGTTGAACCCTGACTGAGTATACTTCCAAGCTATTTGAGGCTGAATATTTCAGTGCAGCAAGAGGTCTGTCGCATAGCCATGGCATGGGTGAGCAAAACCTTTCATGTTCCTATGGACAAGAGAGCCACTCAATCAAAGTTTTTGAGAATGCCTTTGGGGCTTGCTTAAAAGCATCAAGGTCTGATTTCGACCATTTTGATTTGGTGGTGTTTGTTTGTTTTTGTTGTCTTGTTGCCCGCCCTGATTATTGACGACGATTCACAACTGCCTTGGCATTTGTAACATGTTATATTTCTTCTTCAAATGTATCGGCTGAAGAACTTGTAGCTGCAGCAGGTGGCACTAAGCACACCCATGCAGCTGGTCTTCATCCTCGAGAGGTCTGGAATTTGCTGGATGGAAATCCAATTACCAGGGGATGTTTACCTAGTTGTTGTAACAACTATATGCAGCCTTCTGGTGTTTGGACCCAGACGTAAAGTGAAGATGTCAAAGCAAGCAGTATGATGAAACCTGGTGATCTATGTACTGGCTCGCTGATGCATTTAATTGACCTTGTTTCGCCACAACCGTTAACTGTGCAGAGGGCCATCAACAAGAAATTTGATCACTGCAAGTCTGCACCGATAGTTCTTGTCTTTTTGCTCCCCTGTGCACTTGGCCAAAGGCATTCACAGTACCTATATATATATATATGAGCGAGCACGCTACTAGTAGCTCCTGGCCTTACTACTAGGAGCAAGGACGCTACTAGGGGCTCCTGGCCGCCTTACTACTAGGAGCAAGGACGCTACTAGGGGCTCCTGGCCTTAATATATCCCTTGAAGTTGTGGAGGGTTGTTGCTAGGCTCGTACCACGATGGTGTCGTCGAGTGCAACGGCGAGAAGCACTGAGGAAGGAGGCCCCGACTGACAGAAGTGGTGAAGAACGCTGTTCCTAGTAGCGATGCCCTTTGTTACTAGTAGCGTCCTTGCTCCTAGTAGTAAGGCCAGGAGCCCCTAGTAGCGTCCTTGCTCCTAGCTAACACTAACATTGTCAAAACCGAGTTTTTTGCTGAATTATTGGTGTACAAAAATATGGCATATGTTGTTCTAGTGTACGTGTAGCCCATTACCAGTAACAGTCAGCAAAAGATTATCACAGTTTTAGAGACAGGTCTTTAATAATCATCATCCACTGTTACTGGCAATGGGATTTACCCAATCCTATTGTACCTCCCAAATCTTTGGGTTATAGTTATAGTGCTTTTTCCAACTATAAGGGTTCAGTCTGCAACATTTGCTGACAAGTGCTCTTCTGTACGTATTGCATTGTTGGATTTGTAAATATGTATAATGCGTCCTTTGCTTCATAAGACCTACACTAATTGGCATCTATCTATTGTTCTGTGCTCTTACCCATGTTGCCTGATGCCCAGCCTCCAAAGTCTTTGCGTTTCGAGTTCATTTAGGCAGCCTCGCAACAACAAGGCTGCCGATAAACATACTGTAATTTTAGAAACATGTATCGTTGCCCCATGCCGCTCTGCGTAGTTGCTCGCGCTCTTTGTAGGCTCCTGTTCAAAAATTTCCTTGAAAGTGGCACCATGCTGCATGCTAGACAACTTGAGTCTCAAGTCGTCTAGCATGGAAGACTTGAGTTGCTATGGTTCGTGCTTGGGCAGGTGACTTCTTTCTGGTGCCCGAGCGATGCCTATGAGCAGCAGCTCCGCGAGCGGAGTGAGCGCTGGAAGCTCCTTCTTTCACGTGTTCCGGATGCTTGGAAGTCCGTTGGACTTGTTGCAAGAGCCTTCTTTTCAGTGAGGCAACATGCTCACTTTGCCCGGGGATTTTCGTATACTTTCGATTTCATCAACCGGGATTTCACATCCTTGGATATCCTTGGCTACAAGCGGAAGGTCTACTGACTTGAATTTAGGTGATTTAGAGATCCTTTGGACCCAAAACCCAATCCTTTGATGCCGCTCATTGGAGGATGACCACTGTTCTGAATGGTTCGACCAAATAGAATCATTGTTTGTGTAAACCAGGTCATGTTGAAGCCAGGTAAGCCCAGACGTAACAGTTGAGACCACTTGAAGACTTGACCAAACGACGTCCCCTGGCTTCTGTGAGCTCCAAGACCCTCAACGATGATGCACTCATCAAGCACTTTATAGATGACACATTTTATGATGCACTCGTCGAATGATGCTCCAGGTTTAGGATGGTTTAGGTGGATGAAACGGTGCCAGATGTATTGAGAACTCTCCAGACTTTGTTCCCCAAAGCGCGGTTTTAGCGCCACCACCGCCCGAAGCCTTCGCCAACACATAGTGGGTAGCATATACCAAGCACACAAATCGCAGTGACTCATGGAGACAAGCGAGGCTTACACGCATTTTTTCCACTTTTGGAGACAGGCAACCGTGCTGACATCGACAATATTATATATGGTACATTGTGGTGTAAAGTGGCTGGAACACTACATTTCAATAGGTCCCACATGCAAGCATCGATCGTGGACCACACTTGTTCCAGGGACTGTATCATGTCCTGCTCCGCAACACCCAGAGCTAACAGGAATGGAATGAACTGGGGAATTGTGGAACATGGAAGTTTGAACATTCGACAGTTGACACGATCTCAGGAGACGCAGCAGGAGGGAGAGGCGCTGTGATACCTGTACCGTCACTGATTGTTCTTTCTTTGTGTAGGATACGCCTGTGATAGAGATCGCTTTCCTGTTTCTGGTCTTGCGACGTTTTTCAATGGTGTCAGAACATTGTGCTTGGCCGACGTGTGAAGAGATAATTGTGCATGCATGGATTGCTAGTATATGCTTGGAACCTAATTCATGGCTCCCAGCGCAGCGGGAAGTGCAAAGCGTGAGGCGGCCTATGGTAGCGGTTGGCGCTGGCGGCTTCTGCAGAGTTCTTCAGCCCCGGAGCTGATGCCTTTAGACACCTCAGGCCCCGGATATTTGTGCTGTTTGGCTTCAAGAAAGACCTCTGGCAGCTTCCAGCACCCAAATGGGTTCTGTTTTTAACGGACTAAGTAACCTGAAAGAGTCCCCGCGCAGTAAAGCTTAGCTTTCGGGCACGAAAATATTTGGAATCATTTGGAAGACATTTTTGATGAGTTCTTTGGAACATCAAAGCCTTGCGCACTTCTTTATTCCATGAAGCCGCAGCAACGTCAACATATCAGAAAGGTTTTGTATGCTTTGCAGTATGCTTTACATGACCATGCCAACTTCTGACTGTTGAAGCAGCAAGGTGGCCAGGCCAGCTTTATTTGGATCAAAACGGAAAGAGCTTTTCCGCCGGAGTTGTGGACACTTCCAGGTAGAGCCCACAAGAGTATACACAGAGCACAGAGAGCCCAGAAGCTGGTATTTAGACTTTTTGAACTCCCTCCAAGCCCACCCCAGGCCCCATGCCATATGTATTTTAGATCTACCATATAGCAAGGAAGGTGGTTCATGATAGGGGAGCTCTGCAAATGCCTGTCTTCCCAATAAGAGACGTGAAGAAATGCTCCAAATCTGTTTGTTCACCCGTACCGCGCACCAGTTCTAGTCACTCCTCTGGCCTCCAGGGGCTTCGCCTGTCCGCAGCCCCTCCTTGAGAAGAAACTTAAAGAAGGAAGGCGGAGGCGAGTGCCGGCCACAGCTTGGTTCGGGATGTGTTCGCTCTTTGTGGTTTTGTGGGCATGTCTTCTAGCATCACTGGACTTCGTTGGAGAGGGAGTGGTTTCCGACGTTTCCGAGGACAAAGAGCAAGCCAGAGCAACTTGTTCATTGAGTGGGGACTAGTGTTTTGAGCTTGACGCATTGACAGGTGTGGAGTCTAAGGTAGTTGATCAGTTGACTCCTGAGTGAATCAGCCTTCAAGTTTCGCTGCCAAATACAGTACCCTTGCATCGGACTTTGGTCGGGCGAACAGGACCAAACAGAATGACACTAGCAGACTGAATGACCCTTCGATCACATGTTCACGAGTCAAACCAATTGAACGTATTACGGCGACATGTTGATCACCTGCGCCTGGGCGTGATGGCACTGGACAGATCCAGGGATCCAGGGATCAATGGACACAAGATTGGCACATGAGAATTGCCAATTGGTACAATAGAAGGAAGACCTTAATCTTTTTTTCCCCTTCATTAGTGGTACCTGTGGTACCTGCAGCTTCTAGGGGCCACAGGATCTCCCAAGAGAGTGGCAACCTTTAGACATGGCCGAGTGGGTGTTTTGCCCACCATGGCCGGGGGTGTCGAAGGCTTCAGAACGCCAGTTGAATCTGTTTCCTAACAAAAGGTATGTTGATATCACCTTGTTTCTTGAAACATCTCATGTGCGACTGTATGCGAATGTCAATTCTATCAGCAACACCAGCGGACACCTAAAAAACCCGAAGAAGAGGGATGGTATTTGTCAGGATCTATGGGCGCACCAAAGCACAGTGAACGCAATCCTCACAACCACAAAGAAGCAACAAACTTACAAGTTCCCCCCCCCCAGTGGAGAAAAAAGGGGTCAAGACCTGGTGATTTCACTGTGATTCTTGGAACCTGAATCCAACTGTTCTTCTTGGAGCCAAGGTCGAAGTGGCGCCTCTCCTCCTCGCGACGCACGGAGGAAGTCCGCTGTGAAAGGTGTGAGAGATGGGAGAGGGTTGGAAGAAATGGGAGAACTTCAGGGCTGATGAGCTACAAGTCTATCAATCTTCCCATTGGTTTAGCCATCATCGTACTACTACTTTTTAATCATCGTACCACTTTGTGCTCAATTCGCAGGGATCTTTGGAGTGCCTTGGGTTCTCTAGCTTTCAGTCTCTGAAAAGGATGGATATCTCACTGTGGCATCTGTGATTTTGAGAGATAGGGAGTCCGGGCGGCGAGTCGCCAAGGTTCTCAGAAGATTTGACCATTTCCTAGAGAGGATTCCTGGATGGAACTCATCAGAAACCAGACAAACTCTGCAAAACTAAGCCATTGAACGTTTGTCAAAGAAGCCAAGCGTGACACTGCAAGCCATAGGGCCATGGCCCCATGCTTTCCCAAGAGATCGACGTCTCAGAGGTTTTTCAAGCGATGGCCTCCACCCTAATGGCGTTTTTGAAACTAGTAGCGATGCTCTTTGTTACTAGCAGCGTCCTTGTTCCTAGTAGTAAGGCCAGGAGCCCCTAGTAGCGTCCTTGCTCCTAGTAGC